CTAATTTCTATACTTTAGCATGTCTATACGTAACACTATTTTGAATTTGCTGCCTCTCAGGTTTTGCCTTTGTAGAATAATCACAGTAACACAATACATTGTTTTACATTTTAATGTTTCATTTGTTTTTTCATTTGACTTATGACTTAAAACATAAGTTATCCTTATCCAGTGTAGGATGACTAAGACAACCAGCAACTTCAGTGATAAAAAATAAATAAATTAAGTACACAAATCTGAATTCTTCATGGATTTTCATTTATCTACAAGAGATTAAAAATATATATGCCGGCTAAGATATACACAGCCAAACATTGTTATTTTTTCAAAATGTTCATTTGGCAGAAAGAGACCGATTTCGGGGTGGGGGTGTGTATATATCAATATATTTGAGACTGTATGTACAACTTTGACCCTGTCAGAATTAAGGAAAATCCACAATAATTCCCGTTGTGCACCAAGTTTTAGGTTTTGACAAATCATAGCTTTGCTTGGCCTTTTTGTCATTCAATTTAAAATAATAAATAAATAAAATTGGAATGCTTTTCTGGCCTTTTAAAAGTATCGCCTATGGCTAGGCAAAAAACAACAACAACAAAAAAATGGTTAGTTTATGTACATTTTTGAAAATCAAAAATAAATAGAACATATCTGTCTGCAAGAACGAAAATAACTACGCCTAAAAGTTATGTCTGTTATCTTTATGTTGAAATAAAACCTAATTGGTCCAAAATATGCAAAAATGTTCCAGCTGCTGATTAAGATGCACAGGCACTTATCAGTGGTTTTATTCATTGTGCAATTTAAATTCATAGACATGATGCTTATCCCTAAGTTATTTCTTTAAAACAGGCTGCTGATGGCAACAGTGACTCCTGGTTGGAGCATGTAATGCTGCTCTATTTCTCTCCCGTCTTGGCAGTGGCCCCGGAGAGGTGGCCCCTGACGACGACAGCGTCCCCACAGTCCAGGACTCGGAGATTAACCTCCTCAGATCAGGAGACGTCACGTGTGTATTAACGTCTGACATATTTCACTCTTGCACTTGAGTCATTGTGAAGCAACAATTTGTTAATTGGTCTTAAAACATGAACTTTTGCAGACTCGCTGTCCCTCTCAGCGTTGAGGATATTCTCCAGTTTGGTGACGGCTCCAGGGAGCTCTTCATCAAGTCCAGCTGCTACAGTACCATTAACATAACCGTGGCAGATTGTGAGACAACCATCGGCTGGATGTTCTCCTCGGAGCCCAAGAGTATCTCTTTAGGCGTGGTTTACCGGGAGTCCAGTGACAGTGAAGTGGAGCAGGCGAAGGTATACGTGCCGAGTGTGCTGTGCTTTATCTTGGTTGGTGCGGATTTGAGGAACCGCTCGTTTTATTCTAGCAGGGCCGATGAAAAGTGCAGCACAGACGTCTGAGCTGCGTTGACATCTCTAGGCGTAATTCACAGCAATCTTCTTCTAGCAAAAAAAGAGCAATTGTCAAAGGCAGGAATGTTACATCATCTTTTAAGTGAATAAAACACTCTCTTCTATTGTTGGGAAGATTGAAAGGCAGCAAACTCAGACAGGATCTTTGAAAAATGGAAGTTATTTACAGAAACTCCTGACTGAAAATGAGAGCACCTCCCACACACCGCAGTAATTTTGCTTTCAGAGGTGTACAGACTGAGGTAAAGAGAGTCAGACTGATGTGAACAATATGCATAAAAATTTCAGATGGTTTTAGAAAGTTTGTGATATTATTTCTCACTTTACCAAAGCCCCTAGCATCTCTCTTGTTGGTAATATTATCTGTGGTGTAATGTTATGATTTTCACTAACTATATTTGTTACAACATTTTCAAGATTTAGTTATTATTGTCAGGCTTTGTAGGAACATGTTTGGGAAAAGTTTTTGCCCACAACTGAGATTTGTGATTGGGCGATGTTTCTGTTCCGCTCTCAGGTTCTGATTCCTCTGACTCGCTGCAATTCCCATAAAGAGACAATTCAGGGACAAGTGAAAGTTCGGCACCCTGGCCTCTACACACTCATCTTTGACAACTCTTTCTCCAGGTATGAAGCTGGTACCAACACAACCCAATGGTGTAACTGGAACAAAACGAATAGTGACATTTTATTAAATTTTTTTTTTTTGGCCTGATTGAGACATAGCTCATGTGATATTTCCTCATCCACCTGTTCCTATTTTCACTGTTTGACTCTAGTATTTAATCCACAACTTACTATCTGTTTCTTAATGGACTGATTGTGAACCGTCTGTACTTGCTGCTGACCTCTTACATCGTGTAGTGTGACAGAAGTTACTGTCATATTGTGACACATTGAAATCCAGTAGTATTTCGGAGCTTCTACACTGTGTCACAGGCTGAGGTCACATCTGATACGACCAGAACATTTATCGTACTGGGTGAAATTAACCTTAACAAACTCCATTATTATGTCTGTGACTGTTAAACAGAAATGGTGTTTTTGTTTTATTTGTTTTTTTTTTCTGACCTCACACCAAGCTGTCATGTAGATGAGATGCCTCATTTTTCATATCACAGCAGCTAATTATCTTTTTTCCCCCATCAGGTTTATCTCCAAGAAAGTGTTTTACCATCTGACCATGGAGAAGCCCGTAATCTATGATGGAAGTGATGGACCCTGAAGCTTTGTGACTCTCACAGAGGTGCACCTGCCGCTTCTATGGCAACTGAAGGGAAGCTGACAAGATATCAATGCAGTGACTTTGTTTTATTTTCTTTTTACATTATAAACCAAGTATCTTCATAAATGTTTATTCTTGAATTATTTGTTGTTGTTTTTTTGTTGTTTTAAAGGTGGGCCTAGTAAGACAACAACAACAACAACAAAAAATGCTAAATAACTTTAAAAAAATATTTATGCAAGCTTTTGGATGTTTTTCTTCATTTTATTCACCAAGAAAACAAACTTTAGTTCGTTTAGGTATTGTTGTATTTTGTTTTTTATGGGGTCAAAGACAGTTATTTGTCTTTCATCCCATATTTTTAACACTAGAGGCGAAAATCACATCTAAAAAAAATGCACAGAAAAGGTTTAGCACATCAATTTTCATAAGGTGGACATTTTTATTGATAAATGAACCTTTAATAATCAATTTGCACAAACCAGCACAAGTTCATGCAGTGGTTGTGATTTGATGTTGAAACAGTTTGTTTGGATGTTACATTTGCACTACGTCACGGTGGAATCGGGGGCTGATGAGCGTTTGGAAAAGGCAGTTTTTTTTTGCTTCACAACAAACCACAGAGCTTGCACTCTTTTTATGATTATTATACATTTGTTCTCCAGTATCCTGTTTTTAGGGCCTCATAAACTTCAGATTTTATGAAGTTTATGAGGTCATTAAAGTAACTTTCCTGTGACTGTCAGCTAAAAAGTTCCTATACCTTCAAAGTGCCTCTTAATAATCACTGCCATGGCTATGTGTTTTTAATGTTTATGTTTAAACATGACTCAAGTTTTTAAGCTGTTTCTGTCTGTCAAATAACGTTCTGCTTTTCATTTAAAAATTTTCTGTTTTTTTCTGTTATTTAAAACTAGTTTTTTTTTCCTCTTCAGACTTTGAGTGATGCAAAATTATTTTAGTTTGTCCGAGCAGACCGTTGAGGAAGACAATCAAGTTTTTTTGCACAGCCCCACTCTACCTATCGAACTAGGTTTCAATCACAGGGATTTTTGTTTTTGTTTATTTTTAAGGATCGTGAACCAGTGTAAAATCCTATGCAAAGCCTCATTTACCTAAAAATATTTTTTTAGATCAGTTAAGATTTAGATTTTCTTTATCAGTAACTTGCAGATATGAATTTTCTAATTTTCCTTTGTGAGTCTATTTTCAAAGCAATACAATTTTTGCTTCAATTATTTCAACAGCTGTGTGCGAGAAGCAAACAACTGTTAAAGAAAATAAAATGTGTGATCATTGTCATCGTGTCTTTAATTAAATAATTGAAATGTGCTATATTCTATCTTTTGATTGTTGTGATTTGTCTAATAGCTTGATATACACCAAAAAGCTTTTTATAGAGATTAATTTGCCACATAATTTTCTAGATAAATATACAGTGCCTTGCAAAAGTATTCATATCTCTTTATTTTCTCTTTGCTTCGATAAACTTGATTGTATCTTGCTAAGATTTTATTTAGGTTTTACCTCTAAATAAAATCCAATGGCCTTTAGAAGTGATCTAATTAGTCCTAGCAAAGCAATCCCGATCTTGAAGACCCCTGGTTTATGTCAAAGAATATTCACGTGCAAGAATGGCCCAGTCAAAGTCCAGATCTTAGTCATGTGGTGTCCAAAGTCAGGTAGATCTGTCCCTGTTTTAGCACAGTTACTGCCAGCCTGTTTGTTGATCCAAGAAGAGGACAGCTGGAGGACTGAGTTTGGACAGTGCTGCTTTAGTCCTACTGACAATCTGTGAAAACGTAGCTTGTACTGTTTTGCCAACTGGAATGTGCTTATAATGCACTCTCTGGAAGTACAAAGATGGTAGAGACATACCACAATACCTGCAGCTGCAACTGCATCAAAATGTGGTTCAAAGTGCTGAATACAAACTCTGTATATAATCATTTTCCTTCCACTTAATAGTTTGCGTAAATTTATTAGCCTATCATATAGAACCATGCATTAAGCTTAAGGTCGCAGCGGGAACATTATAGCAATGTATTGTAGTTTGGCGACACAACGTGGACTGTCAAATCAGAATCTCCAGCCATCTCAGGGTGTTAGACTTCAAAATAAAAGCATCCATTTCGGATTCTGGTGTCTGTCTACTTAATTTAATACCGTTTGCAAGTCACTGGAGTAGGGCTGCGTGCAGTTTGTAGGTGTTAGGATATGAAAGCTCTTCGTCTTCACGACATCCCGCACTTTGTGTCTAAGGCTTTTATTGTGAAAGTGAGTGAACTATCACCTGGAGAGAGCGCAGCTCGCGCGGTGCGGCGCGGCGCGGCTCAGCATCCCGTCCAGCCGGAGTGAGTCTCAGGAAGGCGCTGCGTTTGGACTGTTACGGAAGGAGCAGGCGACATGTTCCGTCCCGACACCAGAGGGATTTTTCTTCCTCTGTGTCTGACTCGAGTGGTGAGTCCTTTGAATCTTATTGCAATGTGTTGAGACAAAGAAGAAAAAGAACTCGTGGAAACTTCGCGCTTCCCTCAAGGGTGGGGTGGGGGTAGAATCTCTTCCATATGGGATAAACTAAGTTGTCCTCTTTGAGTTTCATCGTCTCAATTTAGACACGCGGACCCTCCTGCACGCGCTCGCGTTTCTACGGAGGCAGCTCTCCGTCTCGTTCAGTTCTTGGAATAATTTGTTGCACGCATGTGATGACTCACACAAATCAGTGAGCAGTCATTTCAAAGATGGTTGCAAACTTAAAGCATCATTCCAACAGTTTCAGTTATGCGCATTAAATCAACACTTACCATCAATATTTCATTTGCATTATGTGAAATAGGACTTATTAATGAAAAGTTTCAGACATATGATGAAGTCAGCGCAGAATCCTATTTTGGGGTTAAACCTTGAAGGTGACGTGAGGAAATGCCTTCTTAGTAATAGAAGTGTTTTTAATGGGGTATTAGGTTATTTCTCTGAGCATGTGACTTAAGTTTTATGGTAAATTAAATGAGATGCAGACATGCACCACATCTCTGTTCATATTTCATTACTTCATGTTTCAAATGAATCATGAAAGTCTCACTCTGGTTGGAAATCTTGCAGGGAGTTATCTTTATTTAAGCTGATTGCCATACTGTATTTATGTGACCCGTTTGAGGAAAATTTTTGCCTTATTTTTCATGTGTGTGTTTGGATGTTCCTGTGTTTCAAGAGAGATGGGACCGGATGCGTACGTGAGTTTTGAAATCCGTGACCTTCAGAGATGTTGTACAGCAGATGCTACATCTGGTTCCTGCCTGATGTAAAGAATTGCTCAGTAACAAAACTCTGCAGAACCTGATTGCACCTTTAAAACACGTGTTGGTCAAACCTTTGATCCATTGGTTTAGGAGTTTTTTTCTTCTAAAAAAATCGGTTCAGTGTCGGTGTTCCCTCCGTTGCTGGAGCTACATCGTTCCTTTCACACACAGCTCACACTGAGCAGGTTTCTACTTGCAAAGTCAGTTCTTCCTCTCCACTGTTGCCTCATGCTTGCTCAGACTGGCTAGTGTTAATTGATTTGATCTGAAAGGAATTTGGACTGAATTTGGTTCTACGTAGACTTGAACCAAACCGGTTTGTGATTCAAGATGACATTTGTTTTGGACTGATTGTTCAGGTAGGGCACCCTGATGCCTGGGACCTACAGCAGGATCTTGCGACTGTTGATATGACATGGTCCTAGTCAAAATCCTGAATTTGTTTCAAGGAGAGGCAGCTGTGGCAAGAAACCCTTCAAATATCTGACTGCTGACTACAAGAATTGAATTTATCTCAACCAAAGGAGGCAAGACTTGCTATTAGGATGTCCTAAGTTTTCCTCTACAAAAAAAAAAATATTTTTTTATTGTAGGAATTTGCTAAATGTATCAAACAACGCTTCATTTTAGTTCAACTGCAAGTAATTTGGTTTCGTAAGAGTTGAATGCATTTAAACAAATATTGGTTTGATGACATTTTGTAAAATTTTAACAAAATGTGAAGTATTCATTTCACCTTTTATTGAGGGCCTCTGCAAAATAAAAAAAACTGAACTTCTTTCCTCTCACAGGAACATTTATTCATTAGAGAACATCATCTAGTTCAGACTCATGGTAATTTTTCACAAACTGAGATTTTCAGGCCAGAGCTCTTACATAAATTCATGAATCAGGAAAAAAAAAACATATTTCATCTCTTTTTTAAATCTGTTTTGCTCTTGGTGCAAATAAACAACCCGTCATAATCTCTTCACTTATTTGCTACAAGTTTCTAAATAATTATTTTTGCAATAAAAACAAACCGATGGCTGTACTTGTATCAATTTGCCATTCAGCTTGCCCTATCCGTTCAGCTGTGCAAAAAGCACAGCATGCAGGACGCAGACTTGGCCACGTATCTCACACAGACAGTTAATCGCGTCACATTCACATGCATACACAACAGCTTTGTGGGCGCTATTATTCCAGTGCCACCTCGCTAATATCCTGGCTGAATAGAAATGTGAAAAGCAGGAAAACTGGTTGGTGTGATGATCTGCTTGGCACAAAGATAATGTGAGCGGAGCGCACACTAATCACTGTGCGCATCTCCGTTCTCTTTTACCACCCAGACGATTGCAGTGACCAGAAATGCTTGTTTCCAAAGAAGGTGAAGTGAAACTAAACAAAAGCTAAATCAGCGCTTTCTCTCTCTCGTTCATAGTTGTTCAAATGCGATTGTAAAGTTGCTCTTTGGCCAGTACCTGGGAGGAAAAAAAAAAAGAGATTATCGGTTGTCAGCTGCAGGAGGGTGGAAAAACTTTAAGACATTCATCTACTTATCAGCTCAGTCTGAGTCATTCCACAAGGAGAATACATAACCATAGGATGACAGAGAAGATCCTTTTTTTTGTGTGTGTGTGACTCAGACAAAAAAAAAAAACGTTACGGATGAACTTTTGACAGAAGACATGGAATAACTTTCAAGTACAGTCGGTTACAAAAATAATGATTTAGATGAGTTCTCCTCTGAGACGCAGTTTTGAGCTTATCTAACTCCTGGCAACAAAGTTAATAAGCTTATTTGCATCATAGGTAAAAATATCCCCCCATGTTCTCATGATCTGAACTTCGAAGGCTGACCTTGTTTGTTCACTCTCCCTAATCGAAAGAACATGTTTTTATATTTTTGTGTGCCAGAGCGTAATAGTGCACCTGATTCGCTGTTGGAAACAGAGAGTAGCATCTGCAAAGCGAGCCCGGTGCTTTTTAGGCAGTTATAGTGGATAATGGGTTTCACCTCTCTACGAACATATATATATATATATATATTTTTTTTTTTATCACTGACCTGGCAGAGTAAAGGGGTCTTTGGCCTTGCATTTAGTTTCAGTGCTCACATTATGGAGCTTTATGTTACATAGACCCCCTAATCTCTCCGTCTTCCAACCTCTGTTTCTGTCCTTCAAATGCAGCACAGTGTCTCCCTTCATCACATCACTCTGCTGAAATAGGGGAGAACAACGTGTGCCCTTGGAGCTTTGTAGCGATCCAGTCTTGACTCACTTTATTCCTCAAACCCCCTCCATTATTGAGCATTGGTCTCATATCTCCGGATCCATTGTTGCACAAGATGTCGTCATAGTGTCCCCTTGTGTGAAAACAACACTTATCAGACCCGTGGGGTATCCATCTGTCTGCTTCCTTACTTCCAAGTAGCCTGGATTGCATTTTGATTGCAGATATTTATGATGGTGAGAGTGAATGAAGTGGCCCTAAGGTGCAAAACAAACTGAAATCAGATAAAATACATCAAAAATATGTAAAAAAAAAAAAAAAAAAAAAAAAAAAAAACACCCAACGATGGCCTGAAGATCCCCAGAATAAATCAAAAACTTGAGTGCATTCCAGTAAACAACCCAAAGATGGAAAACTGCCTTTTAGTTAAATGTTTTCAACACAGGACATTTTGCTGTGTTTATATTTTTTTAATGTGTTGTGTTCTGAACCGTCACACGTTTGTTATTTTGTTGAGTCTTCTGTTTTGTGGTCATTTTTGTGACCGAAGGGAGAAAATAGCAGCACAGTCAGTCATATTGAGATGAACGCCTGAGGGTTGTGTAGAAGGAAAATCTATTTGAATGCACTGTGGAAACACCGGCCTAAATTTATAATCTGCAGGTTATGAGTTTCATCTTCAATTGTGTGTAAAAAAAAACAAACAAACAAAAAAAACACCTTTTAAAAAAAAAATCTTTTGCATATCCCGGATCAAATATGCAGATATGAATCAGCATATACACCATCAGGTGGACAATATGAATCATATTTGGTGGTTTAAAGGGTTTTGATGGATGTTTAATAACTGTCTGATTTTCAAAATATTAAAATTAATATCAGAGTATCACTTTTTTAAATTTAATTTTATGTTTTACCTAAATAATCCACAGAATAGTCACAGAAGTCTTTCAATTGTTTAACTCTTTAGGTGAAAACGCATTAAAAATTTTAATTTCTCACAGAAACATTTGGGTCACTTCTAGTGTAAAAGTTCTTCCATATTTTACACATTTCAATTGTTGCTCTGGCTGTGATATGGTCATATTTATGTAGGTATTTATTGTAGCTATAGTCTCATCAGACATCAGCATCAGTATTTATTGAGGCAGCACTTAAACAACTGCTTGTACAAGGATCATAAAATAAAAACTCCAGGCTACATGATTATTTATTTCCATCAGCGAAGTTGTTCATACAGTTTGTTAGACAGTGTTGGAAAAAGTCAAATGTTTGAAAGTTTTATGTAACAAAACAGAAAGAACCAGGTCTGACCTTCATATTTGCATAACTAACTAATTTAGCAACAGAATATTACAATTCTCATCCTTCTCATTTTTTTTAGTAAATACAATTTATGCAAATGAAGTGTTGATGTGGTCTTTTTTTTGTCTCCATTCCAACTTTATTTGGATAAATGATAACTATGGATTGCTTCTGCACGTGCGCATGGATTGAGACAGCATTTAACAACTTCTTTAAAAAGAACTGACTCCTTTGAAAATATTTTGAAGTACAAAGACTTTACAAAAACAGCAGCTGGTTCTTTTAAATAAATTAAACCAAGTGACTATGGAGAAGATGACTTATTTTCTGCCTAAGCAAGCAGCTCGCAGCGATGACTGTCGGAGCCATCACCGATGACAAATCACCCTGAAGAGTGACAAACAATGCATGGGGTGAAGAGTCGGAGCTGAAGTGAGTTTGTAAATGTCAGCATAACCCGACACTGATAGAAATTATACATGTTGAATGCTCCGACGCTCCATTTAAAAAAAAAAAACAAAAAAGCCATATTTACAAAACAAAAACTTGTGAATACCGCACATTATGCAGCATGCCCCTGAATTGGTTTACTCAGTTTCTGCAGGGGGGAGAATAAACTTTAGTTATCCTCTACCTGCCTTTGAACTGGAAGAGCAGAAGCAGCAGGGTAAATTGCACAACCACATCTCTCATTATATTGTTAGTGCGACATTAGGAAGAAATAGAGTTGGCAAGGTTTCCCACATTTTCATTGATCAGTGGCGAGGGCAGGCGTGGTGCTGAAGAGGAGATGGTTGCATGTTTGTTTCCAATTTGAGGGAATGAGGAAAACATTTCTCTGCCAGCAGGGGTTTGTGCAGTCCCAACAAGCTTCCTAAAAGTTGTTAGTTCCTGTCGCTGTTTTTGACATGAAAAGGTGTCGGTAATCTTGCACAAATACAGGCACTTGTTGGTCTCTAACCGAGACACTTTTGGTGCACGTGTGGATGTGTCTGTGTGAGCAATATCAACGTGAAAAGTTATTTGCCAGGATGTTATGTTCACAACTTCAGTGTGTTTCGCTCGGTCTTTGTTCGACCAAAACAAATTGGCATAGTTGCAAAGATTTTGCTACAAATAGGAATATAAAAAAAGCATTTGCATTCAACCCCCTTCATTTTGTCTCAAAGACAAGCGTGTTTAAAGCCTGCTTGTGGGTTGTTATTTTCAAAGGTACTGTCAATCTCAGAAATTAGTCATCAGGACATATATTCCAATTTACTGAATTAGTGTGTATAAATGGCCCAGTCAAAGTCCATATCTAAATCCATTTAAGACACTGTGGCTTGAAAGTGAATCATACCGATATGTTCTATTAAGCATGACTGAGCTTGAAGCATTTGAAAAAATGAGATTCTCGCTCTCTAGCTATGCAAAGTTAGAAGAAAAATACCCTAAAAGAGCTTCTTCAGCAGTAATTGTGGCAAAAGGTGGTTCAACAAAAAAAGTGCGTGAGTAGGGCTGAATGCAAATGCTCAACACGCTGCATCGATCTCTGTCCACTTCACTCTTACTGTACATGCGACTTCGTGTTGGTCCTTCACATAAGATCAGAATAAATTGCTCAGGTTTGTGGTCCTAAAGTGACAAAAAAACAAAGTTTGATGGTGGTAACCACTTAAGTTGAGGTTTTGGTTAAGCTGGAATCAGTAGCATTTGATTTTTAGATATGATTAATAATGATATGTTTATGGACCATCATGCTGTGTTTTTAACTAATGACGTTTCATTACCGCATCACGTCAGTGTGGTGCAACATTTCTGTAATCAGTTCAAATTTAAATAGTTTTTTTTTTTTTACATTGTCTTGCCTCTTTCAGTTCAAAAGCCTTTATGTTTCTTCGCATATGATGCAATTAAATAACTTTGTGCAGGCAACAATGTTATCATTCCCCACAGAGATCGACTGATCTCTCCACTAGAAATAGTTACAGCACCCATCAGGTCATCCTATGGGACAGCAACGCTCAGAAAGACGATAACTAGGGAATAATCTCTTTGACGTCCCCCAGCAATGTGGCGTCTGATGCATTGTTTTGTCAAGAGTTTGTCAGAAACACGCCACGCAGACGCATCTTGTTTTCCCTTCAGGGGTTTTTAACTAAGATGGAAGTGACCCGAAACAAGGACGCCGTCAAATCAACATGCGCATCAGAAACGGAGTTGGCTCCACTGGTGCTCTGTCTGGTGTCCCGCTACAGTTTACTGGATGCAAATCTCTTTCAAACTAAATGGGGTGGAGAGGCAGCCTCAAAATCAAACAGGGTGGAAAAGACAAAATGCAAAACGGTCCCTCCTCATAAAGCAATTTTGGCAACAAACAGGCACGTGATCATCATGTCATGGTTTTCCTAATTACATACTGTCACGGCTATTTGAACAACTCTGCTGTACATAAAAACTCATAGCTTTAGAGGTTTGATTTGTTCCTCGTATTTAATCTTTATTGCTATTGAAAAAACACTAACACCTCGGAGTTAAAAATGTATGCTTACAGATTGCTTTTATTTCTGTTTAGAAAAGGATGCCCAGATAATAAAACTATCCAAACAGAGTTAGGTCCCCATAACACCAGGTAACCACAAACACATATAGACAAATACTCCCGTCAGTCCTGCCGACTACATTTTATGCTTTATGATGTTTCTGAAAGGAAGGGAAAAATAAAAATAAAATCGTAAAACAAAGACCCCACCACTCTGTGGAGAATTTTTGCAATTTTTGCAATATCCTGTCGTAGTGAACAAAACAAGACCTGGCTCTCTGCTCTGACCTTTAGATTGAGACCACCTAAGTTCACTGGCACCATGCATATTAAAAAAAAAAGGAAAAGATGGAGAAGTTCTGATTTTACCCATTGTGGGTTCAGCAGCTCCAGCACCATTACACTCATCAGCAGGTGTCTTAGTTTGCACGACTTTCCTTTTTAGGAGATTTTTGTCTCTTTTTTATGATATAAACATTTAAAATTTGACTAAAAACTAAAGCTCTATAAATCTGTAAGTGGGGCAGTACTTTAACACTGTATTGTACTGTATTGTAGATAAATCTTTCTGGGAAAGTTTACAAAATCTACCTTCTACAAAAACGTCAGACTCTGTCGTCCAATCTCATTAGCTTAATATTTCAAAAGAGAGATGATGCATTTTTAATTTGGGGTCAAAGTAATATTGGAGCAGGAGGCAAATTGTTCACGCCATCCTCTTCACATCTCAACACGTTGACTAGATCCATAAATGTTTTATATACAGTCTGTGCTAACAAGGGCAGACAGCACATTTGACCATTACTTGAAAATATCCATTTTTAACTTCTGCACCTGATGTCCTGTGAAGGTCAAAATCCTACATCTCCCTTTATAGAACATTAAATCTCGTTTTACTTGAATCTTTGGATTTCGGTGCCCATACCAACCCTGTCTGCATATTATCATTCAGTTCAGTGTCTCTTTAGAAATGTATCCTTCCTCTGAAGTGTTGTTAACTTCTTCTAATTGACAGTCGAATGCAAATTTAGTTGTTGCTTTTTTTATTATTGCTGTTGTTTGTCGTTTGAAAATGTAAACAATCTGAAGGACCTCTGAGCAACATTAGAAGGATTTTGCACAGTGTTGCTGGAAGCAAAGATTATCATCTGTGTCCTTCGGGACAACCTCTTTAAATGAATCACTCTAATTCCCCCCTTCTGGGCGCGATGGTGAAAGATTATTGTGCTTAATGTCACTGACGGAAATAGGTGAGTTTTACCAAAAGGGTAGTGTTTCAGAGGGAGACCAAAATGAGTCACTGCCCTTTCAGAGACTCTTATTTATTTATTTATTTTTAAACACATGGAAGGCTTTTGGATCGCTTCAGCAGGCAAAGTAATGCCACCTGCTTATATATAGAAAATATTCACCTATTGATGTCTAAGCTTATCTTTTATTCATTAGTGGAAAAGAAAGTGATTTAATTGCACTTAAGCAACAAGAAATACTCATTAGAGTCAAACAAAAAATTGTTTTCTATCTGAGGACATTGTTAGGACACCATAATGCCACAAAGCTGGCCTGATCCCTTTGGCTCATGACTTCAGAGCAGTTCTTCTTGCATGCATTATGACAGCAATCCTTCCTTTTCTTTTTTCTCAACCCATCCTTAGTGGATTTACTGGTACGTTTTGGTTCACTCTCATGTTGCAGGGTCCAGTTCTGCCCTCGTTTTACTTTTTATAGATCCTCTCACATCTTTTATTTATTTATTCTTTTTACCTTATGACAGGCGTGATGACTTCCATGATGGTGAGCTGGTCGGGTTCTGCTGCTGCAAAACATCCCCAAACCGTCACACTTCTGCCTCTGTGCTTCACAGTTGTTATGAGGGTTTGTTGCCTGAATCCTGCATTTGATTAGAACCAGACGTCCCATCTGTTCTTATGGCCAGAAAATAAATTATTCCAGACTCATCAGTCCAACAAAAGATATTCCAAAAGTCCGGGTCTCTATCTGTGTCTTAAACTGCAACACATGGCCACATCGTCGGATGTCCTCTGGTGTAGACTTTAAGTAGGACGAGACTGAAATCTTTTTGAGATCTATTAAAATCCTTGTGAACTTCTACTCTCTTTTTTTCTGATGACTTCAGCTGTCAGGATCTCACCAAGAGGATTACTCTCACTTCTCCAGAGAGAGGTTCACTAAGCTAAACTTCTGAGATTTAAGCAGGACAAATCTCTTCATCTGCTGGGCAGAGATGTTTTTGTATCATTCACATGATGTGACAGGCGGTTTTTGCCATACAGTGGAAATAAATGTCGGGGGTGTCTTAATTTGTTCCTCATCAGAAAATAGCATTTTTAGACTTCATAAGAACACACTTGCGATCAATTACGAAAGGTTGATCATGTTACTTGAGTCTGTCGGCATTGATCCGAATATGTTAAAAAAACACAAGCTTTCAGAATTATTTCTCCACATCTATGTACCTCTGCATATGTTGGAGATCCTCCCTTGCTTTCCTGCCTCCAGGCTTTGTCGCTTCTGCACCCGGAGTGTGAATTCTACTTTCAGCTGGAGAAAGAGGAGCGACTCTGCCTGCAGTACATCGCCGAGCAGGAAAACAGAAGCACAGAAGGTGTGTTTTTCACTTTTTAAAACAAGCAGCCATGTAGAAGCAACTCATGAATCGAAAAGTGGCTCTGAGTGATATGAAATATACAGCAGGTGGTCACTGTTCACATTAAATTGCAGGAAATGTCTCACAGAGAGCCATGAGCTGTCTGGGAAGATTGTTTATGGTCGGGAATGAAAACAGACTCGGTTATCTATCACTGAGATGCATCTGTAGAATGAAACATTAGGCATGGTTTCATATAGACTAATGATAAATAAAGAAAAGGTCTACTGAGTGGTTTTCGTTTTTTTAATTGTAATTCTAGAGATGGTTCAAACAACTCTGTTTGGAATAACTGTTCACACCATTTGCATAATGTTTTTTCCGCCATGACTACATAATCACATAAGGTCTATCTCGACTGAAATAGCAACACATTTTCAACTTCCTGTCCTGAAATCTTCTTTGGAAAGGTTGCAGACCATTATGGGATGAAGTTGTCTGCTGGCCTCAAGCTGTCACCGGTGAAACTGTGCAAAGAGGTTGTCCTGCAGTCTTTTCCCTGTTCAGAAACAACACAGGTAGGTGACCTGGCTGGTTGAAATAAAACACATTAAGTGATTAAGTCAAAATGTAGCACAGTAAAAAATTATAAAGTTTTTAGTTATTTAAACTGAAGCAATCTCGTCAGATTGTCATAGGTGGTAATTAAACTTTATCTCTATTAATAACTGAATAAGTCTAGTAATGACTGCACATAAAACTTGGTTGTTGCAAAATGAGCGAATAAAGAGTTGCAAATACCGTCATATATATGTTATGGACTTTATTTTAAAGGACAAACTAAAAACGTTTGTTCTCTAATGTATCAAATGGAGATTAAATCAAATGCTTGATTTAACTTAAATCAAGCATTTGAGGCAGTCTGCCTCAGATGGTATGAAATGAATCCCTAAGGTCACATGTTCACAGATAGAAGTTGTACATATGTTTTATGCAATCTAAATCATGTCACTTACCTGACTGTACGTCAGCTTCATATGAGTCTTCTCCTTAGATTACCTCGTGTGTTGCTTCACGTATTTTGACATAAACTCTGTCCAGCTTTAATGTCACGGTTGAAGAAAAGCATCCTCACAGTGTGAAACTGCAGCCACCATTCTGTTAGCTTTCCTCCAAATATGGTGTTTTGCACTTGGGCTTAAAAGTTTACTTTGAATCTCATCTGATCAGGCTAACCTTTTACATATTTGCTGAGTCCCTTATAGGGCTTATAGCAAACTTTAAGGACATTTTATAGGTCTCTCTCAACAAACAAACTGTTTATCCCAGGATAAACAGTTTGTTTATCCTGGGATATTCTGTCAACAAATCTTGGCTGCTTTTGTTATCAATTTCCTATGTAGTCTGGCTGAATTCATGGCTGAATTTTGGTAGATTTGTAGCTGTGCTCTTTCCATTCTCAGATACTGTTCAAATCTTGGAATATCATTTTATTGCCTACATTGTTTTCTCACAGCTTTATCTCCAATCTATCTGATGTTTTCCTTGGTCTTCATTATGCTGTTTATTAAGTGAAGAGGGCTAAAACGTTTACTCCTGAAGCCATCAAAGAACAGCAAGATGTATACTGAGATTAAAACGAAGCACAGTTTATGAACCACTTTACTTTTATAGGCGATTGGTTGCACTGGATTTTCTTTAGGGCTATCAAAGATAAGTGAGCTAATTTCTCAAATGTTATGCACCAACTTGTAAATGTTTGTTTTATTTTTTCTCCATTCGTTTTAGGTTATTTTAAAATCTGAAAACCATTCATTTTGTTTTCACGTCACAATTAAGTGAATCTATGTAAGAAATATGGCTGTGAAAAAGAGAAAAAGGCTCAAATGTGCTCCAGAAGAGGATAGCATTCTAAGTGAATACATTTGACTTCTTGTTCACCTAATGTCTGTCTGTAGGGTCGGTGAGCCGAAACTGCACGAGCCGCGGCTGGTCAGAACCTTTTCCAGCGTACCACATTGCCTGCACTGTGGATGATGACATTCCTGAGGTAAGGGTCGTTGAAGCACAACAGCTTAACAGGTCACACAGAGAAACACGGGACTCCAAAGATTAGGAGGGCAGAGGTCGACAAGAATATTGGAAACAGCTGGAGACAAAAGCAGGAGAAAACTGAGAGCTGCCTGAAAATTGGGAGGAAGCACATAAAAAGCATAAGGACAAAGCAAAGGGTGAATCTGTGGCAGAATCAAACAGGCAATGAAAAGAAAAAATGCTCCATATGTCAGGAGCTGCATTTTTCTCATTTTAATTTGAAGCTTTTTGACGTAATGGTCAACAGGCTTCTTGGAAGAGAAAAGAAGACCTATTTTGCTGTAAGACCAAAAATATGTTTGATGGACAGAGTCAGAAGTCACTCAGCAGGAAATAGCTGAAATTATCTAATTTCCGTGAAAAGAAGAGAATGGTACTTAATCACAATGTTGCTTTTGGAAGACACCAGCAGTGAGATGGTGCACCTTTTGTTTTGATGTAAAAAGCCTAGTAAATGTTGTAAAAGCTGCATTGACAGGATCTCCCCTGCATTTGTTTTGGACCCATCTCTTCAGTCCAGTTAAGTCTTAACTTTACCAGTAATTTAGTCTCATTTAGGGACATTACTCTACTTATTTATTTTGAAGTCCGACAGCTTTGATATTTCAATATGATGTCCTTTCACACAAATCCGTCTTTCTTGCATCGCTTTTAGACGGAGCAGTCTTATTTTGCCACTGTGAAGCTGATATACACCATCGGCTACAGCGTCTCTCTGGGGGTGCTGGCTGTGGCTGTCTTCATTCTGCTGATGTTCAGGTTTGAATTTGATAGTTAAAGACTGTTCTGGTTTATACGTCACATAGTAAATCTTGATCAATGAGCCACATGACTCTAGAAATACTGTTTATAAACACTGTACAGCTCTGGAAAAAAAAATGAAGAGACCACTGCACTGCACCCCATTGATAACCTACTAAATATTGATTTCTGAACTCTTCCTGAATTAAAACATTAGTATTTTTGTTTCTAAATGAATATAAACTTGTTTTCTTTTCATTATTTAATGTCTGAAAGCACTGCATCTTTTTTGTCATTTTGACCGTTTCTCATTTTCTGCAAATAAATACAACTACAACATTTTTGTTTGGATTATCAGACATGTTGTCAATAATTCAAAGAATAAAAAAAATAAATAAACAATGTTCATTTTTCTCAAACATACACCTACGAAAAGTAAAATGAGAAAAACTGATCATTTTAAGTGACCTCTCAAATTTTTTTCAGCGCTCTATGTCCTTTTATGTCCAGATGGCTTTCATTTTTCACGGTGCTTTTTTAAAACTATATCAGAAATTTTGTCTGGAGTTGTAAAACAAATTTGTGAACACCTGAAAGACTATTGAATTGAGATAGTGGTAGTAAGGTATCTATTTTCAGTGCAAACAGAACTAAAGCTGATTTGTATAGGTGTCATTGCAAAAACAGGAGGGTGTGACATTTACCTGAAGAGAATTCTTCAATTTAATAGCAAAGTTATTAAATCGAACAGCTTATTTGGTTTGGTTTTTATATCTTCCTCTCTGGCCATGGAAAACTAAACTCTTTAACTCTTCTGGGAGTTAACATGCCACAATGCTCCTATTTATTAAATGTTCACTTCCCTGTTATTGAAGACATGAATTCTGCTTGTGGGAGGTTTATTTATGTACTTTTATGCACAAATATGATAAAACCATCTATTCTCTCCTAATCAGCTCTTTTATTTGATGGTTTTTGTTGGTGTAGTGCACACAAAACTCTGACCCTAATAATCTATCAATTAGCCTTCAAACATGTTTCTCAGACTGATTTCACAATAATCTATTCTTAAAAGACAAAAAAAATAATTTCAAGTAAATATATAAAAAAAAGCTCAATTAAATATGCAAATTAAATTAATAGAAACCAAAATTGTGTGAAATTGCATGTCAGTTGGTGTGACTATTTGTCTTTTCATCTATTTATTTATCTATTTATTTTATTCTTACCTTTCATTGTCTGTTTGAAATAAATAAAATATTTAAAACTATAAAAACATAATCAATTCGGCGGAACAATTTTAAAGAAACTACATTTTTTGTAATTGTTGTGCAGTATAGCCTTCAGTGGTTTGCATTTGTTTGCATGCTTTTCAACAGGAGGCTGAGATGTGCCAGGAACTTCATTCACATCCAGCTCTTTCTCTCTTTCATCCTGAAGTCTGTGGCCGTCTTCATAAAGGATGCTAATCTGTTTCCAAGTTATGACACCAACCACTGCACCTTGTCCACGGTAAGATAAACACTCCCAGCAGGAGAGTTCGGGATCGAATTCACCGTCTAACTATTCACTCTCTGTTCTCTTTTTTTTCTGTTCAGTTTGCCTGCAAGGCTTCTGTGGTTTTCTGCCACTACTGTATGATGACTAATTTCTTTTGGCTGCTGGTAGAGGCGCTCTACCTCAATTCCCTGCTGCTCTCATCTTTATACCACAGCCGCCGCTGCCTTTGGGGCCTCAGTATTCTGGGATGGGGTGAGAAGCTCAATATAGCAAAAAATACTGAAATGTGTTTGTCTCTTTAAGCGACAGGCAACAGATGTCAAGTTTATGACTTAAACATGTTTGTTTTTTGGAGCCAAGTAAACAGTTTTATTTTAGCAATTTAACGTAGCAACTTGTTTAGCAATTACTTGGAGCCAGTAGTGAAGCTGAATGACTGTCATAACTTTCAAGCTACTGTCGTATTTGCCAACCTGTCATGTGTGATTTCTCTTTGAGGTCTCTGACCTGAGCAGCTTGTAGTTTTGTGACTAGATTACGTGTAGATATGCAAGACATTCTTCAGCATACATGATACCAAACAGTCATTATAAGTTTATAGGAAATAAAATACTGCATAAAGCCTCCTAAAGCCTAATCTGCTCTTAGAAATTGCAGCACAGCTCAGAGACAAGATAAAGAAAAACTCAGTTTCATATACTAATAACAGTGTAATTATGATTTTGCCTTCTCACTGTGTCTTGATTAGATTTCATTGACATTAATTTTGGTTTCCTGCCTCTCTACAGGTGTGCCTGTTGTCTTTATACTTCTGTGGATTGGATCCAGGGTTTATTTTGAGGACACAGAGTTTGTATAAAACCTCATGGCTTTTGAAATGCACTAATAATATATTGTTCATCTATGTCATTTAGTTTAAGCAATTAAAAATAAAGAATCACAGTATGGTAAATAGCCTCATTAAGTTAGAGAATTGGTTTACGTGTGAGATGTAAGTTTAATTCAGGTGATAAATTATTTTCTGTTGTTTGATGTACTTTATTATTTGTGCTTGGTTTAACTGTGCTTCTGTTGCTTTTGTTCAGTTTACATGAAACAACTCCAAATGTCTTTAAAATATCTTCATCTACAGATGTTGGGACAACATCAAGGACTCTCCTTACTGGTGGATCATTCAGGGACCAATTGTTGTCTCTATAGCGGTAAATGCTCCCATTGAAAAACCCTTGGCTTTTATTCATATGGAATCATACAGACTGTGTGCAGTGATGGTTTTTGATATGAGCAAATATGGCTCACTACCTGGCTATATTCTACTTGGATGGTTGTGGCCACTACCATCCAAGAGAGTTTTCTGTTGCTTACTTTAAAGTCCAGTCGGTGTCATTTATACATTCATACATTACATACTCTGTCTGCCTACTAACCTGCAATGATTTACACAGTAAAAAGTTATGTTTTTTTTTTAGTTTTTTTTTTTCTTCAGAATGGGCTTCATTAGTGGAGTGGAGTCTGCATTTGATTTTTTTCAGTGTTATAGGGAGTGTGAATAAGTGGAAAAGGAAGAGTATATCAGGACTTTATGCAAAAACCATTACTGATTGACATCAATTTGTCTTTTTTGTGTTTTTTTTATCAACAGGTCAATTTTATGCTTTTCGTGAACATCATCAGAATCCTCATTCAGAAGCTAAATCCTCGGCTGATCCAGTTCAATAACTCCTCTCAATACAGGTAATAGTCAGTAAAGTCTGAGCGGCGATGCACTTTCTCAGCTCTCAAATGCTGATTGTATGTAAATCCTTTATCCAAAGAACACTGAAGTCTGCTGGAAATATTTTCAAAGAAAATAGAGTGCTTGTTTGCAACCTTGAAGTCTGAGGACTGGTTTTATTCAATTTAGATTCATTTTTTTCTCCCCCATACAAAGTGTAGATTTTTCAGAGTCTGGGCTCTGTGGCTTATTTGTGGTAAACTCTTGCACTTTCTCCGAGTGATGATTGACACTTCTTTGAATACTTTTTAGCTCTCGGATGTTGAAAGATGCAGTTTGGGCAAAAGCTGTTGATACACTCGTAGTGTGTCCTGAATAATTTATTTGACCTACATGCTGAGCATCAATCTACTCAGTCTGGCCACGTCTACCTTTCCTCTTACCAAGAGCCTTATCAGAATTTATAATTGGAATCACAAATAGACCGAGCGCGCCTGGCACATCAAGTATGCTGGACCTCATAAAAGACATATCAAGGTAAGTTAAAAGATGGTTGATTTAATTATCAGCTACGGTGCATTCATACCTGTAATACAAATGCACATGAGATATACATACAAACACATACCTGCACATACAGAGTAATCCTCCCAACTAATGCCCGATCTTACTTTTTACCTGCTTGCATCAGCAGCATTCAGATGAGAAATGCTCTATCTGCGACAGGATGTTTCACCTCTGGTATCTGGATTTTATTTCCCTCTGTGCAACAGGCGCCTGGCCAAGTCCACCCTCCTCCTCATCCCTCTGTTTGGGACCCATTACATGTTCTCCAGCTTTCTGCCTGACTCCTTAAACAACCTGCGCTTCTATATCGAGCTCTGCCTGGGATCTTTTCAGGTGCAAACGTGAACTTATCACACAAACCTGATTCGTTTACAAGAAAATACCTAACCCAACTTGCTTCTGTGCACAAACCATGTTACGTTCATGCTGTATATTGGTTTATTTCTCCTTTCAGCTTCAAAAGTTTTGCTATATTTTTTAAACCCCAACTGTGAAAATTTCAAATCAGACATCTATTTAATTCGTAGCTGTATATTTTCAAAAGATACTTTGTGCAGTATTTCTGTTAATTGCAGATTAATTATTAATTTCCCAGACAACACATAGATCATATATTTATTTGTATAGCCCTTTGCAGTAACCACCAGGTCAACCAAACAACCAATATAATTGCAAATAAATAAAATAAAACATATAAAGGTTAAAAAAAAAAGAAAGACAGAAAAACAAACTTAAAAATTTGACATTACTGAGTATTAAAAGCCATGTTAAATATACATTTCTTGAGTCTTTACTTGAAGAGGCCCAGGTCAAAAATCAAGTGTAGGTACTTTATTAACTTTGTCACTTGTTGCACAATATGATGTCATAGTCAGGCACAAGGCCAACACAGAAAATTACTTTTAAATACTTTTGAGTGTGTTCAGATTCAGATGAGAAAACACTTTGACCAAACAGAACTTGAAGGTAATTTAAAACTTTTGCACAGATCTGCACTCTCATGAACCTTAAGCACACAAGTTCTCCATCTCTGCTTTAAACTGTATGCATGCAGTTTAAAGCTGTAATATTAAAGTTAACAAAGACAGGTTCAAGACTTGCTGTTGCACAAAAGACACCCGGAATCCGGTGAATGTAACAATTAATAATACAAATCGTCTCTTTTACAGGGACTTCTTGTTGCTGTCCTCTATTGCTTTCTCAATCAAGAGGTCAGTACAAACCACACACTCAAGTATTAGCCGTAACACATTCAGAATAACTACCAGGCGATTTATGGATCTCTGATGCATAAGGAATATGCTTAACGATATTGAAGACCTGTGAGAGGTGCAGGGGGGGAAACTGCCAGCACTTAACGTACCAAAACAATTTGCCACTTCTTTCCACCTTGTTGCATATGTGAAAGCCCCAATGTGGTTTCAGTAATTATCATGATTAATGCAAGGCTGATCTCCTATCAATCCCTGAGCATCACCTGTCTGTCTTTCTGTCTCTCTGTCTGTCTGTCTTCATCTGTCCTTGTGCATTAACTTAATATCTATTTCAGTTTCCAAAAGGGCCTTGCAGATAATAGTTGAGACTGAATTTTTGACCTGGGTTGTTACTTTTATTTTTGACATCGTCTTGCAGGTAAAGAAATACTGGGGCTTAAACTTAAGTTTTGCTTTAGAAAACATAATTTTTATTTTTTATTTTTACTACAGTTCCCATTTTCTAGTATGTAGACTTATAAGTCATGACAGTTAAATTATTTTCATGCCCCCAGAATTTATACCTATGTTAAAGGAAAAAAAAAAACAGAAAATGGAAGAAAAAGGCAGAACAAGGCAGCAAAGAGTACCAGAAATAGGTGCAGAACAATAATTTCATAAGGAGCCCCAAATGCGGGCGTCAGTGCATAACAAAATAGCCACACAAAACGAAACGGGCATAGTAAGGTCACAAAACTCATGTGTACTCTAAAGTGAAGACTGGTGCATCAATTTATTGAGTTATATGGTAAACGTTTGGAGAAATATTGTCTTTGAGGTAGTAGTTTGGTATGAAAGAGGATTAGAGCTGAAAAAAAGCAGGGTTAGTGTGAAATTACATAAAATTGCTATTTTGAAATCTGTTTGATGTTTGATATCTGTTTTCAAAAATTATCATTTCTGGTCTCCCAGAATACCAGATCTGTGTGGACGCAAAGACTAAACAAAAAAAAACTTTGCGAATACACCTAATCTTGTCTCTGTCAAACCGGGCCTTAATTAGCAGGACTCCATAGAGGAGGATTCAGGTGTGTGAGGTGTCTGAGATTCTCCTGAGGATTTCAGGACATCAGACCTCAAAAAGTGCATTTTGACACTCCTAAACTAGAAAAACAAAACACATACAAACACTGTGCTAGGAGGGAAACAGAACCTAAAGGAAAGCTAATGTGAGAAAAGTAAGAGTGGATCACCATCTCTGTGAATTTCTCAAAATGAATGAGTGCAATCACACATTCATTTGACAAATTCTCCATTTGGTGGTTTTTGTCAAGAAAACATTTTTCCAATTGCATAAACTGGCAATGCAGTCTTCGCAATTCTTTTTTATTTTTATTTAAATACGAGTCTCCAAATGCCAAGGGAAAGATGGATTGCAATTTGTTTTGTATTTTCAAGATTTCACGTGTACTCCTCCAAAACGTGGGGACAGTTGCCCTTTAAATGTTTAATTAGTAGATCCATAACTTTGTTCTGCCCATTCCATTATTGGCTATTAACATTGAATTTTTTTGCTTTGACATTTTACTATTCCTTACTCATCAATGGTCTATACTATGCTGATCTACAGAAACTAAGTAGGCTATTATAAAATGTTAAACAATGTTTTCCTAGTTTTTTTCCTGACGGAGAGGTGTCTTCTTGTCTTTTTCTTACGTATGTTCTCCCTTGCACTTAATCTTGTGCTGTAGGTGCAGAAAGAGATCCACATGCAGTGGCTGAGGTGGCAAGAGAGGAGCTACGGCGTGGTGTCGCCCGCGGCAAAGGGGAGCCAGATGGACACTCCCTTCTGATATCTCTCTGGTGTGATAGCCGAATGTTCAAACAGGACTGTTTCTGTGCATATTGTATCTGTCCAATAGGCTGTAGTGCACGCACAGTGATTGTTTTTGATTCCTCAGCGAGTTCTCTAAGTTTGTCCAAACCGCGTGCCAGATGCTCTCTGTTCTTCAGCCAAAACGGAGAGAATCTGAAATCAACTAAAATTTCAACACATGCTCACATTTCACACTACAGTGCCGGATAGTTCTTGCTTACATCTCCCAACCACATACTAATCCCATGAAAAGAGCAGCTTTCTGCCTCAGAGCCATCATTCAATAATTAATGACTCGATAATTTCAGCTAGCTGAAAGATCGACTTAACAATTATAGAGCCTTCATTTAAAAAATAAAATTCTGATAGGGGGTTTATTTTAATCAAGAAAACAATGTTTCCTAATTTACATTTTAATGTAAACATGATGTTGAGTCTGGCCTGTTCAAATCAGTGTCAGCTTTTGATTTTGGTGAGAGAGCATTGCATGTGCATTGAAAATGTACCTATATTTGAACATTTTACATTGTTTTAACTCTCATGCTCCTTGCTTGCTGTGAATCAAACTGAGCCCACGAACAGTGAGGCACAAGAAACCTCAAGACTTCTTCTGCTTTCTTCAGCTGGATTGGGTTTTCCCACGGTGCTATTCATACCAGAAACGCCATGGATTAAAGTTTTTGTTCATTTTTCATTTGCATTTGTATCCTAATTCCCGTCTCTATATGGTTTTTACTTGGAGGTGTAGTTATGCTTTTTTTAAATCATTTTATTATTTATTTATTTATTTATCTTGTTTATTAATTTATTTGTATTAAACTCAGTATCTACTATTAACTCACATTCAGCATTGTGTTTGTTGTTGTAAAAAAATATGTAAAAGTGGATTTTAATGGTATGATACAATAAATAAGCCTGACATTGTTCTGTTTTATTTTTCAATCAAAGCACTTGTGCAAAATTTGCCTGCATAAAGGCAAAAGTGCAGACCTACAGGTCTGCACTCTTTGTGATCTTTATGTCACAGTGAAGATTAGTGTCATGTAAGAGCATTGTCTTGCCTTAAACTGAATGTAAAATCTGTCGTAGTTTGTGCCAGTTGTTATTGAGTGTCCATCCATAATGGATTTTGATGTTGCTGCCTTGTCCTGTCATCACCCTGTGGTATTTCCTGTGAGTTCAAGCATCGACTTTTGTCCTCAGTAGCCTCTTTTAGGAAGGACAATACATTTCACCTGGCAGCTGGGAATGTTGAAACACTGAAAATTAATGTCTCACTGTTACTAACTGTGATTTAAGCTACACGTGACTTTTAGGACAGAAGTGAATTTCTTAACGTTCTCATTCAGAAAATGAGTGTGAAACAATGTTTGGAGTTGTTCTGTTTGCGTCACACAAATAAACATAATAAATCAGCTTTTTAAAAGCATCGGCATGCTCTGTGTGTTTTTGAAGTTCGATTCATTCAGAAGATAAGTTATCAAACAGACTTTTCATTGTGCTATTCCTTTGTATCCTCTTATCAGTGTGGGAGAAAATGTTCATGATTTATTTATTTTAAACAATAACCGTGTACAAGTTATGCCCATTTATGTTTGGACAGATGTAACATTGGAGAGACGCCACACATCTTTAGAAGTCATCACCAAACTTGAGATATAGCTGAGGGTGGATATTTGACATTTTCATTTCAGAAATGATTGTGTTGAATACATCTATAGACCTGGCTGTCAAATTTTGCCCTCAGAATAACACCACCACTTCTGTGTTAAACAGCTAGTTTGGTGCCTTATATTTGAAAGATTCAGTTGTCTCTTGTCACTGTAGCCTAATGATGAATCCATGTCAACTCCTAACCTGAAAATATAAATGAGCAGATTCTCAGCACAATGTGGAATTGATTTAAATGTTGAATACAATAATGTACAGTTAATTACAGATCAAACAATGCAACCAAGTGGCATGTGATAAGTCTAGAAAAATACCAAAAAAAAAACTAAGTAAAACTCAGGGATCAACAAAATGCAAGAGGTTTTGAACACGAGCAAAACCTGACCAGAGAAAGTGAGAACGACAAAGTCCAACTACTTCTTGACAGCAGGAAATTGAAATAAAAGGAAGAAATGAACAGAAATACTTTATGACCAGAAGTGCGAAATTGAAGATAGGACACACAGGAGCAGGAAATGAAACCTCAGCTATTCAACTTTTAGTTTGAATTTCTCTGCAAAAGTGGCTGTTTTCTAGCAAACAGCTACTTATGTTTCTGACCATAACCTTTGTCCATTTTACAAGATGTTTCAAACACAAAAATACTTAATCTTATGCTTTCAACCAGCCTTTAGAGCTCCCTGATCTGTGTTGGGGAAAGTGAATGCCTCACATGCAAATGGTAAAAGGAAACTCCTTGACAGAATTTTGACAGAAAAAAAAAACATAAAAAAAACGTTTTTTAAGCTCGTTAGGACACAAATTATTGAGAAAGTTTCAACATGCTTGCTTAAAAAACACTTGTTTATTTTCTGTAAATATTGAAAATATGGACATTTGTTGCCGCTGTGTAGATAGATAGATAGATAGATAGATAGATAGATAGATAGATAGATAGATAGATAGATAGATAGATAGATAGATAGATAGATAGATAGATAGATAGATAGATAGATAGATAGATAGATAGATAGATAGATAGATAGATAGATAGATAGATAGATAGATAGATAGATAGATAGATAGATAGATAGATAGATAGATAGATAGATAGATAGATAGATAGATAGATAGATAGATAGATAGATAGATAGATAGATAGATAGATAGATAGATAGATAGATAGATAGATAGAGATTGAAACACATTATTGTGTCATACTTTGAGAGAAGTGCTATCATATTTAACATAAATCTGCCTGGGAAACAAAATGGTGCTCACTGCCTCTTGTTTCTGGCTCGTTGGTTGTGGTGTTTAGGGATCAGTATAGTGGGAAGTGCGGAGCTCCGAGACAGGATGTGGAGTCACTGCTGGATTGCATCGCCTCCTTCTCCCCCCACTCAAACACTTTTTATGACTCTGACATAGAGGGAGAAGCCTGGCGTGCAGCTGCAGGATCCCCCATCTGAGGAGATCGAAGTCGGCTGCGGATCGCGCATTTTTCCCCGCGTCTTTGGTTTTGGGGGAAACAGAAAATCCGGGTACGACGGTGAGTTGGTTGAAGAGCTCTGCCTCGCACCGCATCAACGCTCCACAGATCACGTTTATTCCCACTTAGGATGACATGTTTGTGCTGTTTTTGTGGCGTAACTTTTTTTACACAGACCGTCAAACGTGACGCACAGAACCAACTCAAAATATTAGTGGAAGAGCTTTAATTTACAAATAATAATGATAATAATGATCATTTGACTCCAGAGTCATCTGGAAGCGGTTTGTCAATTGTATTTGTGTCCACATTAAATGTTGCTGTGATTATGTTGGTTTTGCTGGGGAAGTTGCAAACTTCAAATCAAAAGTTTCAGAATTTTGACCTTGAAATGTCAACAGTGACATCATACAGTCCAATGCTTTCTATTTAAAAACTTGTCACCAGGGAACTGAGGACCCAACATCCACTGTGAAAATCACCAACTAAAAGGTGGCCAAAGGATTGCAATCCGTGTATCAAAACAAACTGGATAGTTTGAAATTTAACGTATTTAGAAGTGAGACTCAGTTTCAGGCTTATTTCTCTAATTCCAGATTAGACACAGTGGATACGGGTCCTCTACTGTTAGTAGTTCTTTTAACACGATTGTATTTGTTTTGTCCTTTCCTTTGACTAATTTAGAAAGTGCTTTGTTCAAGTTCTGATATTTCTGAATACATATGTTTACATTGACTAATTGTCTCATCAAGCAATTACAGTCACACATGAAGATTTGATTTAAATTGTCCGTATTATGGTAAATGTTATTTGTCTCTGTAACTTTTTTGAAAGGTTTTTTGTCAGTTTCGCAGAGATTAATGTGCTTCAGTGGAAACCAGGGGTGGGAAAAAAAACAGCCCTGTATCAGACAGTAATCATTTTAAAGTGGCTGCAGCTCAAGCATATGTGGTACTAATAGGTTTCCTATGCTTTGTGCAGCCTCAGAAGGAGAGGTGGGGGGTAATGACAGGCTGCTTAAATCCCCCTCTTCATGCCTTTCGTGCCTAAACATGCATTAACCAGACTGTGTTTCTCTGTTGTCTGACTTACTGGAAACAGTCATTTGCAGCTCTATAAATGATCCGATTTCCTGATGTAGTTTCAGGCGATGACCCACCTCTGGACCCTTGTGTCAGCGTTGCTGCTGCTGCTTTCGCTAGTGACTGGAGTTCTGAGTAACTATGAAGAAAATGACAATGAAGTCCTCAAACAACTTGAGGCCAAACTCAACAGGAGCCAGGTCAGTCAGTGGTTTATCTTCTGTTTGTGGAGCTTTTATGTTTTGTTTGCTTGATCTATAAAAAGTGAAGGGATGGGAGGGAGCATTATCTAAAATTTGACATTTTGAGCTTTATATCATAATCTCTTGTCAAAAACATACTTATACTGTTGCTTTGATTCTTTTTTGTTGTTTTGTTTGTGTTTGAGGACTCCATGATTCTCCAGTGGCAGCCATTCAGGGGTGCCTAAACGCTTGCTCATACTAGCACCTCCTATTTCTGTAAAGCTCCTCCTCAGAGCTGAAGTCTTGGTATATGCAACAGAAAGAAGACTTACACAGTGAAACGGATGTTTTTCAGGCTTAATGTTATGAATAAACCTTGTACTTTTTTTTTGCACTTTTGTGTTTCAGAGTCCAGAAATTGAGAATGCAATCAGAAATATCACAGAAGTGATGGAGAGTCGTACAGCAACCACATGTAGGTTTTCTACGTGTGTTCTGTGGATTGTGCTGTAGTTCTTTTTTTGTTTTTGTAGTACAATAGAAAATACATTTCAAACCTTGAGCTTTTTCAAATTTAGTTACTGCTCAACAGCAACCCTCAGTATGTTTTGTCACAAAAAAGAGAAATACGACATTATTTTATATTTAATGCTTTTTGCCACTGTGTTCTGATGGAATCATATGGGGATAAAGTTCTTTGGGTAAATATGGACAAAGCTGATCGAGACCTTTGGCACATCTAGAGATGAAAAATATTCCTAAGTGTTTTTTTTGCAAAACAAATCAGATTAGATGAAGGAACATCAGTTTTTAAGTTTCTCCATATATTTGATTGACTGCAGGTCTGGACTTTGACTAGGCTATTAGAACACCAGAGCTTTGATCTGAACTATTTCATTGTAGCTCTGCTTTGTTCCAGTCTCAAGTCTTTTGCAGTCTCTAATAGGTTTTCATCCAGGATTGGTCAACATTAAGTTAACCATTTAAGATAAATTAAATTCAACTGGGCTACATTTCATTGAGATATAATTGTAAAAGATTGTCGTGTTTTTGCTGCCGCGTCACAGTTGCGTACTACTTGCTTCTTAACTGTCAGATAGTATCCTGATAAAATACTGTGAAGATTGCAGTTGTAACACAACAAATTGTGGAAAAAGTTCAAGGATTATAAATACTTTTACAAGTCGCCTTGTTGCTTTCTTTCTACATAACCAGCTCCAACGATTACGATGTCTCGGCCGAGCCCCACTGTTGCTCGATGTCCAGGAAACCAGGTGACGCAGGGCGGCAGCACTGGTTGTGGGTGTCCATCTGGAACAGTGCAGAACGGTGACAACTGTACTTGCCCTGTAGGATTCGCTCTGCACGGAGCGGCCGAGTGTAAAGGTGAGACATGGACAGACTTACAAGCATGGAGCAATGATTCATGATGATGTTTGTGGTTCTGGAAATCCAGGGAGATCACTGTGGATGCCGTGAAATTGTCGTTGGAATTTAGAATGGTTGGCAAGTTTGTACATAAAATGGAGGAATTTTTCAAGACTGCTTTCCATAAAATGAGAATCCCTTCCTGAAACAGATGAATTTTTGGAAGTCAACAACTTGTAATCTGCTACAAGAAAAAGAAAAACGACAAATTCTGAAAAAGTGGAGCTATTTTGAGGAAGTAGCAGAATCAATCTTTCAGCTGATTCTGTTAGACTCTTACTTTTTTTTTTAAATACATGTTTGCTCTTAGCTCTTCCACAACATGTCACATTTGATCTTGTATCTTCCCCTCATCCGTCTCCATTCACCAGATGTTAATGAGTGTGAAGAAGTAGGACCCGGGCCATGTGGTCCCCATGCCAGCTGCACTAATACCCCCGGCTCATACTCATGTTCCTGTCTCCGTGGCTTCCTGATGGGATCTGGAGGGTGCCAGGGTTTGTCTGCCTCCCTAAATGTGTGTGTGTGTGGGCGTGTGTGTTTATGTGCGGCAGAGAGAAAGATATGTATATTTTA